TGGTCAAGCAGATGCCACAAAGCCACAGTCCGTGACTAAGGGAGGAGGAATCTGTATTATCAGCTACTTGATAGCCAAACCAGAGCAAGGACTGTTCCTGAAAACAGAGCCTATCCTCCCAGGAATGTTGAAATCATCCTCTGGGATATGTCCCCTGACCTTTTGGCATTGCAGTAAAACTCTCCTGCAAAAGTGGGGCTCCTGGTCCTTACTGACCTATTGGGTTGGAGGATAACATGGTGTAATGAAGGAAAGGCGGCTGCATGTAGCAGCAGCTGATTTCCAGTCCATCTCCTTTCTTTTTCTCACCAAACCTCCTTCTCGGCACAAATCAGATGTAATTAAACAACATTCCTGGGCTGGGGTACTGGCTTATGCCTGTAATCCCAGTACTATGGGAGACTGAGACAGGTGGATCACTTGAAGCCAGGAGTTCAAGACCAGCCGGGGCAACATGATAAAGTCCCTGTCTCTACTGAAAATACAAAAATTAGCTGGGCGTGGTGGTACATGCATGTAATCCCAGCTACTCAGGAGGCTGAGGCATGAGAATCACTTGAGCCCAGGAGGCAGAGGTTGTAATGAGCTGAGATCATGCCACTCTACTCCAGAATGGGCAACAGAGCAAGACCATGCCTCAAAAACAAGAAAACAAAACAAACAAACAAACAAACAACCTGTTAAATTTAATCTTTAAAAAAAAATAAAAGAAAAATAAGGAGGATTCCTGGTCTTTACTTCAAAACAAGCACAAGAGACACGGTGAATATTATCATAAGGGGAAGAAATGAGACTGAAACATGCGTAAGAGGCAGAACCATCCATTCTAAAGAAGGAAGGGATAAGACCTGGGGTTACAACAAATGCGGAGGATCTTCTTTCCCTCAGCACAGGCATCTCTGGGTTAGACCCTGGGCACAGCAGCACTCCTCCCTCGTAGAGCCTCACTCCGGGGCGCATGGGGCTCTCTGCTCTCTATTGGAACCCTTTTCGTCTAACATTCATTAAATGGTGGTTCGGAAATTGGTTCTTGGAATAAGGTTAAAAACGTAAAATTTGATGGCTCAGGCTGGGTTGTATTTAGGAGGAAATGTTCTGAAAATATCTATACTTGAATTTTTAAACTTAAATTATAATTTGAGAGGCTGCCTGAGCTTAGAAGCAATGAGGCTCAGTAAGAAAACGAGAGGAAATGCACCTGAAATGAGCTGCTGTTGCAGGCAGCTGCCTTTCTTTCATTATCCCATGCCATCCTCCAAGCCTGATAGGTCAGTAAGAACCAGGAGCCCCATTTTTGCAGGATAGTTTTACCGCAATTCAGAATGATCAAGGGACATGCCCCAGCCACAACCTAGATACGAATTCATCTGTCTGCTTCCAAGAGCCACTATTTTAGACCTATTCCCAAAATTCAGAAAGATGCCAGCCACATATAATTCCAGGGTGTAGAGAAATAAGACCTTCGAGGTTTCCTCTCAGCACTGATTCCCCAGAGGGGTGTGTAGAGAGGAGCTGCTTTACCAGGTCGCATCACTCCTGGTCCTCTCTCTCCTCCTGGCCTCCAGGCTATTTGGCTCACTGTGAAAACCCTGCTCACTTTCATTTCCAATCTCCGCCAGCCTCGTGGACGCTTCCCCTCAGCTGAGAGGCTGCCTCTCTGAGAAACCAGCACCTCCTCGGGGACGCCAGGGCCTCCCATGTGCAGTGGGGTTGAGTGATGCCTCATCCAAGGTCGTTTCCAGCTGGAAGCTCCGAATGTGCCTTTGCAGATACAGGTGAGGTAAAGATCTGGAAGTGAGATCATCCTGGATCAGGGTGGGCTCTAAAGTCAATGGCGGGTTTTCTTATAAGAGAAAGAAAAGGAGACACAGAATCCAGGTGTGGTGGCTCAGGCCTGTAGTCCCAGCACTTTGGGAGGCCGAGGTGGGAGGATCGCTTGAGCTTAGGAATTCAAGAGCAGCCTGGGAAACAGCTGAGATGGTTTGGCTGTGTCCCCGCCCAAATCTCATCTTGAATTGTAGCTCCCATAATTCTCACGTGTTGTGGGAGGACCTGGCGGGAGATAACTGAATTATGGGGGTGGTGTTCCCCATACTGTTCTCATGGTAGTGAATAAGTCTCATGAGAGTTGATGGTTTTATAAGGGGTTTCCCTGTTTGCCTGGTTTCATTCTCTCTTGTCTGATGCCATGTAAGATGTGCCATTCACCTTCTGCCATGATCATGAAGCCTCTCCAGCCACATGGAATCGTGAGTCCGTTAAACCTCCTTTCCTTTGTAAATTACCCAGTCTCAGACATGTTTTTATTAGCAGCATGAGAACAGACTAAGACAATGGTGAAATCCTGCCACTACAAAAAATACAAAATTAGCCAGACATAGTGATGCACACTTGTAGTCCCAGCTACTCAGAAGGCTGAGGTAGGAGGATCACCTGAGCCCAAGAGGTCAAGGTTGTAGTGAGCCATGATTGTACCACTGCACCTCCAGCCTGGGTGTTGGGGCCAGACCCTGTCTCCAAAGAAACAAAGAAGATACAGAGAGGAGAACACCAGGTGACAAACACTGAAAATTGCCAGCAGGACCAGAAGGCAGGGGCGGGGCCTGGGACAGACTCCCCCTCACCCTGTCACCCCTGGTCATCTTTTACCACCTGGTCACACACAACACTCCCCCGCCACATCACAGAGCGCCTGCACCCCTTGCGGTTGTCTTATCAGTGACTGTGCAGCGCATGGCACATCCCAGATGCTTAGAAAATGCCTGTTGGTGGTCACCCTCACTGGCCTGGTTTCTGCTACTTTAAGTCATCCTTGCCTCTGACTTCAGACCACAATGGTAGCCTCTTCCATTTGCTGTAAATGACTACACACCTGGAAGTCTGCAGACTGTGCGGAATCCCAGCTACTCTGTCTCAACAGCTTGTTGCAGCTAATGCTCTCCTCATTCTGCAAATGGGGAACAAGAGAGGCAGTGAGGTTATACATCTCTCTCAAAGTGTCCTGGTGCGGGGCCTGTGAGGGGTTTGAGTCACATTAGCCCAATTCCTGAATGTGCCACTTCCCTTCCTCTAGTTGGAACTGAAGACAGAGTGAGTGAGTTACGTTTGTCCCCTGCACTCAATCACCTTCGTCTGTCACTTTGTCTTACATGGAGCTGGGCCAAGCATCCCTGATAGGAGGAGGCAGGGCACGCTCAGGAGCTAAGGAGCCATGTCCAGCATGAAAATGACACTGCCTCCTCTTGACACAGATTCTTGATGCCCCCACAGCTGCACCAATCTCTGTAAAGTCTCCCGGACCTCCAGACCCGTGCAATTTGCTAGGTAGTAAGTCCGACCCGCCTACATCACACCAGGGCATATCCCCCAAAGCCCTCCACACCAGGGAGCTGCTGCCCAGCATCCTTCCTGGTGCTCCTCGTAAAGTCCTTCAACTCTTGAAGGCCTTTTCCTTATTGTGACTATGTCAGACTCTACCTTCTGTGTACAAATCTCCAGATGATTGATGCAATCCACTGCAGTTACATCGATACCTTATTCACTGTTTGCACATAGTTTGCAGGGAAGCTGGCACTAAAACAAAGCATCCGCCAGTATTTTTTACTGGATGAGAGCCAGAGTGGTGGGCAAGTGTCTTTTAATTTCCCTTATTCATGAGTTTCCAAGGAGATCAGGCAGATAATGAAGGACGTGTTCTGCTGAGCAGGTGCCCTCTGCCTTTCTCAGTCAGTTTACTACTGTATCACCACTCACACACCGCTCTCTGTCTGTGTTGGCTGTGAATGCACCCTAGATGGTGCAGCTTCTGTCATGCTGTCTGGATGCACTAGGCTCTGGTGGTGGCTCTGGCGGTGGCAACCACCCTATTCTCAAAGAAAAGAAGCCAAAAAGAAAAGGGTCAGGTGAGCACTATCAAGGACAGTCTGAGCCCCATGTGGCCTATCAAAGTGACAGTAAATACCCATCATCTTTATTAACTCTTGCATGGAAAGTCCCAATCTTAGACACCAAATACAAAATCTGCTTTCATCTCAAATGTGTCAGTGAGAGTCACTATTGACCTTGGTGAGCAGGAACTGGCAAACAGCTCTCATGCCAGATTGTACCAGCTTATAAATCGCCTCCCAAAGGAAGCTGACACTTGGGAAGCTGCATGGGCCAAGAGACCAAGCTGTCCCTAATCTCGCCTCCCACCTGAACATCAGGGCTCAGTTCCAAACACCCATGGCCCTTCTGGGGGTGCCTGGATCCTGCAAACCCGTCATGCCCAGAACACATCATTCTGTATGGCCTCGAGTGCTTCTCCAAGTATCCAGGGATACTAGGGCACAAACACTGGGCTGTGTGATCTGTTCTCAGGATGGGTACCTGGATTCCTCACGCTCACTACCCTTCAAGGGTTGGAAACAAAACCACAGCAAATTGAAGACATCGTTGCTATTTTAATGGTTTCTGGATATCTTTGGAGACCACTGACACAGTCTTTGAGTCAAACCTGACCTGAACATAGATACTTGGATTGAGGTTGGAAAACAGCAGAGAAGGTGATGTTTCTCTTTAACCTTCTACCGTGTTATCTCCCCAAACTGCACCTATTTTGTGATCTTGCCTTTCAACTGCTTTTTTATTTTCTATTATCCCTCTTCTTCCCATGTCCTGTTTAACCTGCTCTCAATAAAAGAATGTCATTTTTAGAAAGGATCATGAGGATTAACCTTCTCACTCCAGCCACTGAAAGTTTCAGATGCTTCAGGAATGGCCAAATCAATACCCCCAGCCAACCCACTCCTGTCCTCTACCAGCTGCCTGCCTTTGACTCCCTCCTCCTTCCTCCAGAGCTCATGACCGCTCGGGCTCCTTGCCCTGGCCTTAGGGCTCCCCCACACTCTATGAAAGGGTGACTCTCCTGAGTCCTGCACTGGCCCCTGCCTTGTCATCTGGGTGCCCATTAGGAGGCCAACACCAGGTGAGCCCCTGCCTTAGTCTGTCCCCTTTCTTACCTGAATCCATGAGCGTCTACAGTCATTGCTGCTTGGAGCTCAGGCCCTGGACGTCTGTGAGTCAGCCGCAGGAAGGGACTTTCGGCTTTGGCATTCCCAGCACCAGCTGACCATGGCAGATTCTGACCAAGCTCCTCTCAGCTGCCTCCCACCCCAGCCCACACTACAGCACTCTGTCCTCCTCTGGTGGCCAGTGTAGACAGAAGGCATCTGCCTTCCCTGTGATCAGAGTAGGGATCTTCCCGTTTCCTTAACTCGCAGTGGTTCTGAGGGATCGTGGCAAGATAAGGGAGGTTGTCATGGGACTTTTAGCAGTGAGATTTTTGACTCTCTCCAATTGGGCATAATTCGTAGGAGAGAAAACATAAATACAACCCAAAGCACAAACGCTGGGGAGTGTCAGTGGCCCTTGCCGCTGCTCTCAAAGCATGCCTCGTGTATCTTCCTTCTGATTCTTCTTCCTACCTTCCTTTTCCATCATGTTTGTACACATCACTCTCTCCAATTTCTTCCTCTCTAGACAGCATCCAGGACTCCCTTTCTCTCCCTATATCAGGGATGCTCAGCCCTGCAGAGTAGAGCCACAAACCCAAGGCCTGCAAATGCAGTGCGTTTTTTCCTACTGGGCTTTAACTCTGTAAATTATTTGCCCACATTTAAAATCAAGGATATAAATATGTGAATTTCCAGCTTTTCTTCATAAATTAGGATATCTGGCAACGCTCTATCCGCATTCCACATGACACCAACCTGCTGGAGCCAGGGGGTGGCCACTGGGTATGTCTGGCCCTGTTTAAAGTTTGCAACCTTCTCCTCTTACCAGCGGCAACCTGCAGGGTTTACTAACAGTTGTGGACTGAATGATTGTGCTCCCCTCAGAAAACTCCTATGTGAAATCTAATTGCCAGTGTGATGGTATTTGGAAGTAGACCTTTGGAAGCTAATTAGGTCATGGAAATGGAGATCTCATTAATGAGATTAGTGTCCTTATAAAAAGAAAAAAAATCCAGAGAGCTTGCTTTTTCCTTCCTCCATGTGAGGACACACTGAGAAGTCATCTGTCTATAGCCTGGAAGAGGGCGCTCACCAGAAATCAGCTATTGTGACACCCCGATCTCAGACCCTCAACTTTTTGAACAGTGAGAAATAAATTTGTTGTTTATAAGCCACCAATCCATGGTACTTTGTTACAGCAGCCCAAATGGCCTAAGATACAAATGAAATCATCAACCACCTGGCAAAGGAGTGAGCTCCTTGCAGGTAGGATCCTTCATCAAAGAGGGACTGATGAGCAGTGGAGATGCTTCTCTGAAGTGCAGGCCCATGTCAGACGCCCACCAGGATTAAGGTAGGAAACCAGCAGGACTTGTTTTCCGGTCACAGCCCTGCTGACCAAAACATGATCTGGTCTGTACAGGATAAAATAAAGAAACTGGTGAAAACCAGCAGATGGCCAGGGAGGTGATCCTCAGCTGCTCTCATTGCTCATGGCACAAGATATTCCCATTCACACCAGAGCCATGACAGTCTACAAATGCCATGGCAACAACCCAGAAGTTGCCACTGCTTTCCATGGCACCCAGAAGTTACCACCCTTTTTCTAGAATGATCTAAATGACTTGGACCTCAATTTGCCTTTACCCACCATTTAATTTGCATGTAATTGAAAGTGGGTTTATGTGATTATAAATACAGTTGCCAAGAGCCCAAACATTGCTCTGGGCACACTGCCTGTGAGTTAGCCCCACTCTGCATGGAGTAGCTCTGGTTCAATGAAAGATTTCTGTCTAACACCACAGGCTTGCCCTTAAATTCTTTCCTGGCTGAAGCCAAGAACCGTCGCAAGATTCTTGCATCAGAATCTTGCAACAGAATGTTGCATCAGGGTCACTTGGACCTTATAACATTTTTGAAGCTCTAATTTAACAGGTCTGGGGTGCATTCTGGGTATCAGGATTTTTAAGAGGTCCCTGGCTGATTCCAATGGTCAGCAAGATCATGAGCCGTGGCCTTAAGGATTCCTTCATTTCCTGGACAGTGACCCATGTGCCTCTTGAATCTCTTTCTATTCTGAAACTCTGTAATTGTCAGATTGTTTCCTTAGTCTGTTGGGCATTTCAAGAGAAAAAGAAAAGGTTAGCCTATATGGTTTTACAGAGGCCTTGAGTTTCCATTTTAGTTCAAAGGAGCCTTTCTAGAGATGGACAGAAATTATATTCCTTTTAGAGATTCTCTGGTTTAAAAAAAACATTATCAGCGAGATAAAAGTGCCAAGCTTATAAAAGTAACATTTGCATTTCAATGGTAGCACTAAATTGCTTAAGGGTGATATTTAGGAGTTAATTATTTGGTAGGGAGAACAATTTCTTATATCTTGAGCTACTGCCAAGAATGACTAGAATTTAACAAAGTTAAACAATTCGGTAATAGAGGCTTATTTATATAGGTTAAAAAAAGAAAGAAAAAAAAAGCCATTCATTGGACAATGTCAATAGGCCAGTGGGTGAGGGATGAAGAGAATTAAAGGACATAACATTTTTTCAATGGCTAAGTGACAGATAAACTTCTCTATGTGGCTTATCTCATTTGTCCCCACATCACCACCAAGGGGTTCTAGAATCACTCCCAAATGACAGGCAAGAAAACAAACCTTGAGAGGTTAAGTAATTTGCCCAGGGTGACATGGCCAAGAAGGGATAGAACTGAGACTGACTCTCCCAGAAGCTGAGTTTTGAACACCTGTGTTCCCCACCTGCTGAGAGATGTGAGAAGAGGGCTGGACAGAAGCCCATGTGCCCACAAAGCTAGCATGGCTCAGTCCCACCTGCTAGCCGGGGGCTGTGTCCAGAGAGATGCATGCAAAGCTGGAGCCCATGGCACCAGAGGACGGGATCTGCAGCCAGAAAAGCTGCTGAATTCACAAGACCTGCATGCCTCTCACAACCTAGAAATATTTGCTTATTTACAGCTCTACCAACCAAAATATCTATCCCCCTGCTCTTAGCTGGTGAGGTCTCCCTGGAGAAAAGCTCATCCTGGTCACACTGTACTGCCCTGTCCTTGCAGGCTGCTGACAGCAGGTTCCCCACAGATGGCTTTATCTTTCTGCTTTCAGTTTCACTTTGCTCCTAGCACCAAAAGTCTGAGAGGCAGCCAGCAGCCACCACACACCACCTGGACATCCCTTGGCTGGTCCTTAAATTCCAGCCATCTGCACACCCTTCATGCATCCAAAAGCACCCTTCAGTGAGTGTGGTAATAGGACTTGGTGGCCTTCTCCCTGTCTCACCCACACTGGAACAGCTCTGCAAGTCTTGTGTCTTCAGGGTCGAAATAACTGCCACAGGATAATGGCACTTGTTCTAGAAGGTGTTGCTTCTTAGCATATGGCTGGTAAGCAGAATACAAAGAATTTTAGAGGACACAGTTAAGCTGCCCACAGACATTGTCTGGGTCTTTGCACAGTAATCACATTAGAAAGATGCAAGAAGTACACAACGAAAATACAATGAATGTAGGCACAGCTTGGTGACCTATTTATCATTTGTTGTGGCAATTTAATGAAACAGACTCTTGGGAATTTTCCATTTAACTGGTAGGAGCAAAATCTGTCCTTGCTAGGGTGCCTTGGGTTTGGGGATGTTTGAAGCCCAGCATCTCTCTGGGCAGCTAATGGGAGATAAGGTGAAAAGGCCAGAGGAGCCGAGATCATGCAAGTCCATCGACATGGTCTCCCATTTTCTGACTTCTTGGTCTTCTCCTCCGTTTCCATGAAAGGCTCTGAGAACATTCCCAAGTGGAAAACTGGCTCTGAAAACATTATGGGGAGGTCAGTTTTCCAAAAGGGGATGGATCTTGACCTACCTTCTTACTCAGAAAACTAACAGAGTACTGGAAATCTTTCCATAGGGGCTTTAAAAAGTTTATAGCATGGATATCCTATTCAAGGTCACAAAACTCAACTTTGCGGGGGAAAAACACCATCACCGTTGAAAAAGCATAGTAATATCCATGAACAATTGGCAGCTAGAGAACGGGGCAGCACCTCAGACAGCTCCAGCTGCTCATTCCTTCACACCTACAAAGCTCCATCTGACTTTCTTCTCATCCGCAAGCACTGCACTGAGGGTGACCCTGCAGCTTAGCCCTCAAGTCGCTTCTGACCAACCCATGGCTTGTGCTTAGTCTTCATTTCACCTCTTCTCTCTGTAGTCTTTGGCATCACTCAGCACTGCCTCCCTTCTCACACAGTTCTTTCCTACTGGGTTCCCTCTACCAACTATGCTGTTGATGTAGAATTCTCAGTCTCTGCACTTCTCACTCTTCTCTTTTGTAGTTCTCATTGATTCACATGGCTTCAGCAATCCCGTTCATACAGACAACTCTCAATCAGAAGGTCCTGGCTTGGAGCCTCTCTAATCACTGACCACCCCAATTTTATCTCCACTGATGTTGCATTATTTACTGACTCAATAGGTTGAAAGTAGAACTTAGCATTTCTCCAATTAACTCTGCCTCTAAATATGCCTATTTCCACTCTTTTTCAGTCACCTGATTGAAATAATTTCCTTGATAACTGTATTTCATTCTTTTTCCAGTTAATTTTTTTAGTTTTTTTTTAAAGTCATTTCTATCTGCATTTTGTTTCTGTTTGTATCACCATATTTATTCCTCATGCCTGGACTTTTGAAATTATAACCTCACTGTTTCTACCCTTATTCTACTCTAGTTCACTTTTTTTTATATACTATTTCAAAAGTAATCATCATAAAACCCTGCTTTGAACAAGTTTGCCACTGCTAAACCACCACTGGCTGCTCATTGCCTATTGGGATGTGTGTTATCTCTTAGTCTGATATTCACATGATATCTCCTACTGCTCTCCTAATATTTGATATGTTATTTACATTACTCCCTTACATTTCTTTGATGTCTACTGTATGCCAGGGACTGCCGACCCTTTACTGTTTCACTGTGTTGTGAATTATCAGGACAACCTGCAAGGGCAGATGCTGATGTTCCATTTTGTGGATGAGGGGAATGAGAAATAAAAAAAGTAAGAAATCAAAT